CGATAATAATTGTGCTTTGTGCATGAGCACAGCCTATGTCAGCGATATTATATGACGGGAATCGTCTGTACGATGTGTATGATTCGCGCTCTCATCTGACAGATCTGATTGGTGATTATTCGCGGCAGAAAATATAAATGAAGTTTGTGAAATTAAAATAGAAATATTCACCCCGAATATCGCACCGAATATATATATATACCGCACACAGACGAGCGATCCATTGTACACACATCGGACCTCCGAATTATAGAATCTCCCGGAAATAATAATAATAATCGCGGAACCCAAAATATGTATTAAAGGGGAAGAAATAAATATCCCCCGAAATGGATTCACTCCCCGCGAATACAACACACACAAGAAGCCGATATCTATCAAAGTAGCGAACAATTGTGAGATATTTTCATCATATTATTTCTTCTCTATTCCTGACAATTGATTCGCCGGATTCGCTCCTCTTCCGGGTGGTGACACCGGGCTTATTATTCGCCACCTCGGGGTTCAGATTGTGTTCTGTGTGTGGGGGGGGGGACTCGGATTTGTCTCTCACATGATGCGGATCGGGATCTTGTTCGCTACTTTTATAGATATCGGCTTCTTGTGTGTGCTGTATTCGCGGGGAGTGAATCTCTTTCTTCTTCTGCACTACATAATAATAATAATCGATGTGTTATCGGTCATTGATCGCACACAGACCACAATATGGACGATCGGCTCCGTGTCATTCCGGATTTATTATTATTTCTCTTCTGTGACCCGAAACATCCGAATATATATTATATACACCCGGACACCGGCGAATGTTATATTTGTATATATATCGGTGAATATTATATTTGTATATATATCGGTGAATATTATATTTGTATATATATCGGTGAATATTATATTTGTATACAGCGGTGAATATTATATTTGTATACAGCGGTGAATATTATATTTGTATACAGCGGTGAATATTATATTTGTATACAGCGGTGAATATTATATTTGTATACAGCGGTGAATATTATATGGACAGGTGGCGGATCTCTGAGAAGTTCGGATCATTATAAGAAGTTTTATCCTCTAAATGTATCCGGTAATAATACAAATATAATATTCTGATGATAATAAATTCGCTTCATGCGGCAGAGTCTGAGAAATAACAATGAGATGAAAGTGAATCTCTTGTCGCCGCACCGATCGGTAGATGGTCTGTGTGCTGCTCGCCGGGAGGCCGATCCCCGTATACATCGGGTGTATATATATATATAATGTGTCCGTGTATTATTATCATCTGTAATAAAGATTTATCGATAAATAAAATGACATCAAAGTTCGCAATTCGCTGATTACAGAAATTTCTTCTCTGATTTCTTTCTGAGATTTTTCCGCATGAAGCGAATTTATTATTATTATCAGAACATTATAATTGTATTATTCTCGGATATCGGCGGCCGGGCAGGTTGTGGAGGTTCCCGGACAAGGATCCTCCAATGTGTATTATGTGTCAATGCCGAGATCGGGGACATTATCGATGATTATATCTACTAGAGATGTACAAAGATTTCTACAGAGGGAGAGGAGACGATATCAGACAGATCGCCCGACACCCC